TAGGTTAGGTTAGGTTAGGTAGGTTAGGTAGACGAAAAAACATTAATTCATGAAAACTTGGCTTATTAGGCAAATCGGGCCTTGAATAGTAGGCTGAGAAGTGCGTTCTGGCTATTAGGTACGACATATATATATATATATATATATATATATATATATATATATATATATATATATATATATATATATATATATATATATATATGACAGTGTCAGTCCACGGAGGAAAATTGAAACAGGAATTTCCTTAAGTACTTTCGTATATTAATACATCTTCAGAATACATTAATACATCTTCTCAATACATTATTGAGAGAGAGGAGTGAGAGAACGCTCAAAACATGAGGTGTCGAGGCCAGCAGGCCAGGCAGCGAGGAGTGACTGGGAGACACACCAGGTAAAGTGGGTATCGCTGTAGTACTGAGAGGCGCTGTAATGAGTCTGCTGTTTGGGGCGCCCGGAATTCCGGCTGGAATTTCCGATGGGTGACAGTGGCGATATTGACATATGATAGGCGCCAGATGAAAGCATTCTGGTTGGCTTGGTGGCGGGATCAGCTCCGGTGGTGTTCAGGCGCTAATGGGAGGGGAAGGTTGTCTAGATTCTTTAGGTGGGAGGTGGTGGAGCAGCCTGGTCCCCCTGAAGGTTACCAGACGCCAGGAAATTGTCGTATTAAAGTGTACTATCCTATGCAGGCGAGGAGTCACAATAACGTGGCTGAAGTATGTTGACCAATCTACACACTAGAAAATGAAGGGACGACGACGTTTCGGTCCGTCCTGGACCATTCTCAAGTCGATTTGAGAATCGACTGCCCTAATCTACCAGAGGACCCAAAACAGAAAACGGGATAGTATGTCAATTTCGCCAGCCGCTTCCGTTTTTCTAATACAAGAATTTTTTGGCTTAGAATATACGTCAAAGTACGACGTCCTATTAGGCAGAGGGTGTAATTGGTGAGGTGGGGTTATAGGTTAGCTTGGTAAGGGGTTGATGGGGGTTGATGTAGGTGTTGAGGTGGTAGTGTGCTACACGTGAGAGGGGTTGAGGTGGAGGGGCAATTCCAAGTCGATGGGTTGATGGTGATAGTGTGTGTTTCCGGTGAGTTGAGAGGAAGATGGATGGATGGGTGACCATCTTGGATGGTAGGCCGAGCCTCTAGGTGAATCCTAGTGCTCTACGCTAAGCCTAAATGCTATCCTATCTACCTATCTATTGAAGAAGAGTTGATGAGGGGCGGTGGGTGTTGAGTGAGATAAAGCTGCTCACAGTGGAGTTGAAGGGAGCCGGTCGGCCGAGCGGACAGCACGCTGGACTTGTGATCCTGTGGTCTCGGGTTCGATCCCGGGCGCCGGCGAGAAACAATGGGCAGAGTTTCTTTCACCCTATGCCCCTGTTACCTAGCAGTAAAATAGGTACCTGGGTGTTAGTCAGCTGTCACGGGCTGCTTCCTGGGGGGGGAGGCCTGGTCGAGGACCGGGCCGCGGGGTTACTGAAGCCCCGAAATCATCTCAAGATAACGACACGCCATCTTCACATCCCCGTCCATCATATTATCTTCTCATCTACATTACCTTTAAACCTCTCCATATCCCTATCCTTATATCCCCTCCCAGTTATCCTTCCCTTCTCTCCCATGTGTAACCCCCTTACAAGATTCTTCTCTCATAACCTCCTTCCCACCTCAACGGCCTGCAGCCCACCCCCTCCCTTTCCTTTCCCCTTTCCCAGGTGGTCACAGGAGGGAGCCTTCCCACACCTTACTAATTGACAGCGTCGCAGTGTTGTGGAGACCGTGGACAACCCTGGGAATTGTGTGACGGGTGTTCGTATCCCAGCGGTCATCAGTGGTACTAACATTGACCGCTCCGACCCTCAGCCCTTCTTGTTCTGGCAGTCATCACGAATTATTTGGGCTTGATATGTGTGTGTGTGTACTCACCTATTTGTGCTTCTGGGGGTTGAGCTCTGGCTCTTTGGTCCCGCCTCTCAACTGTCAACTGGTAGTTGATTGTGTGTACTCACCTGTTTGTTCTTGCGGGGGTTGAGCTCTGGCTCTTTGGTCCCGCCGCTCAACCGTCAATCAACAGGTGTACAGGTTCCTGAGCCTATTGGGCTCTATCATATCTACACTTGAAACTGTGTATGGAGTCAGCCTCCACCACATCACCCCCTAATGCATTCCATTTGTCAACCACTCTGACACTAAAAAAGTTCTTTCTAATATCTCTGTGGCTCATTTGGGCACTCAGTTTCCACCTGTGTCCCCTTGTGCGTGTTCCCCTTGTGTTAAATAGACTGTCTTTATCTACCCTATCAATTCCCTTCAGAATCTTGAATGTGGTGATCATGTCCCCCCTAACTCTTCTGTCTTCCAGCGAAGTGAGGTTTAATTCCCGTAGTCTTTCCTCGTAGCTCATACCTCTCAGCTCGGGTACTAGTCTGGTGGCAAACCTTTGAACCTTTTCCAGTTTAGTCTTATCCTTGACTAGATATGGAC